AATCATTATAAAACATACAGAATTTTGATATAGAATTATTAATTACGTATACAAACCTTATAAAAAACGTATCATTTTCTTATTTCAATTCTTATAGGGTTAAATTTAAAAAAAATACACTTGTTTGCTATTACCACCTTTAATAGTTTGTTTAGGTTTCAAGAAGTTCAAAGCCCACACGAACGTTAACATTAAGGATGCTAAGAGGCAAAAGAAAAGCCTATAATGATATTGTGAAATTAAGTAAATCTTACAAAAAGAAAAGAAATGTTATTCAACAAATTGAGGATGGAAAAATTAGATATTGAGGATAAAAAATATCAAGGATAAACTTACTGAATTCAATTTTAAAGTTTAAATATCAGTATTAAGTCTATTCATCCAAGTTCATTAAAAAGTTTTTTTTATTTGTTTTTTTTAAAAAAAATTAAAAAAAAAATAATAAAATATAAAAAAGTACCCCCTTGCTGAAAGAATTACAGAAATTTTAAAAAGAAAAAAAAGTATTCTAACTAAAGCCCAAAGCAAAGAATAAGTTAAACAAGCCTGCGATAAAATAAAAAAAAATTTTATCAAAAAAAACTAATCAAAAAAAATGATTATTTATAATCATCATTGTATAACATGAACGCTGTCATTTTTTTTGCAGGATTAGAATAGATGAAGCGATAAAAAATAATTTATTAAAATTAAAAAAAATTTCCAGTATAAAATCAAAATTAAGCATTCTTACTAATTTTATCCATCACGTGATTGCAAAAAGAAGGTGCTTAAATTTGAGATTTTATGGTAACTGGAAAATTATTTAATTTAAATATATTCATGATAATAGATAGGGCTGTATTTTAAATGATCTTGATATAAGTTCTTTATATATATCTATTTCTAGATTCTAATATAATTCTTTAAAAGTTATTATTATTAAATATTTATAAGTAAAATTATATAGTCAAATCTTAATATAACAAACCCTTGATATAGCAAATTTTTAAATCAAATGTATTAAATATATCTTACTATAGTGAACCAACCAATTAAATTCTTTAAATATTGTTATAAGTAAATATGCTTACCAAAACTCCCTCAAAATAATTTCGTTATATCCCTTATTATGTTTTTAATATAGTTTCAGTTAATTTCAGGTTTTGGGTTTTGTCGTATCCCTCAAAATATTTTAATACAATTTCGGCTATTTATTAATAGCTTTTTTTGGATTTCGTCTCTCATCTTTAGTTATAAGCTTATAATAAAGTTGAGATTCAGATCTTAGGGTTCATTATATTAAGAGTTTACTATATCTAAAAAAAAGTTAATAGTTATTATCAAATATTTTTAAAAAATAACTTCAAATAGCTAATTAATATTAAAATAAAAAATATTATATAATAAATAATAAGCTATTAAAATAAATATGTATAATAAGATTAAAATGATTATACTGATAAGCCTTTAGGAGGTGGTATTTTGGTGATTTTTTAACTGTTTTCTTTATTTTTTCTTTACTTTCTTTAGGAATACATTAAGGTAAGCCTTTCAAAGGTGAGATTCTAATTAAATTCTTTATTTTTTTTTGAAATACATTAAGGTAAGCCTTTTAGAGATGGTATTTTAGTGGGTTTTCTAACTGTTTTCTTTATTTTTTCTTATCTTTAAAAATCAAATGTATATTTTTTGAATAAAATATAATATAATATATATTCTTTTTGAGTAATTTATTATGTAATAATAAAATAAATTTATAAATCATAAATAAACAAAAAATAAGTTTTATTAGTTTCGATTTTATAAATAGTTGCTTAATTGATTTTTGCTGATTGTTGACTAATTTTAAGCCGATTTATGCTGAATTTTGACCAATTTTTAACATAAATACTGAATAGTAGCTGATTTTCTATTTATTCAAAATGCTGATTTTTGATAATGATTAGTAGAATTGGATTATATTTTGGCCAACTTTTGGCACTTTAAATATGACAAATTGTATTATTTTGCCTAGTGATAGATCAAATAATTACCAATCGTTAATATCGAATGTTGGGCAACATCAGCTATAAGGGGACGGCCAGAAATGACGTCATTCTATAGGGGGGGAGGGAAGGTGCGCTCTTGATGATGTTACACAATCCATTTTAAGAAGGAGATATGCAACACCGTCACGTTAATAATTTTACTGCGTCGCATTTAATTAAGCTAGAAAAAGTGTTACAAACTCTTTAGTGTTACTATTTTACTGTGCGTCGCGTTTAATTAAGCTAGAAAAAGTGTTACAAATGCTCTTTAGTATTATAATTTTACTGCGCGTCACATTTAGTGTAATAATTGGTCATATGGTTCTTTAATGTTACAATTCGCATTCAAAAAAAAAATTATCTTAGCCCAAGGAATTTTTTTTTAATATTAAAAATGTAAAGAATTTTTGTTATTGCAAGTTTTACATGTTGCGGATTTCTTTGTATCTTTACAATGAAACAAACATATTTTCGAGAACACAAATATCCTAAAAATTACTTGTCTCAAAGCCACAAAATCTTTATGAAAAGTATGTGAACGCTTTTGCATTTTCAGTAATGGTAAAAAGCCATAATATTGCTCCCAACAAAAAGGAACTCCAGCTTCAAGTACAAAATAGTTGGTTAGAAATTAAAACAAACAATAAAGATAACATTGAAAGCCTTACTTCCGAATTGTTAAGGATACCTATTCAACCTTCTCCCTTTAATTTTTTTTCACATTCACGGCAGAATTCTGTAGTTAAACCTTCAACATCCCTTTCAAAAATTCTTCCCAATACTTCTGATAATACACAATTTCCACTTAATGCATCAGCACAAAGACGAGCGGGTGTTATTATTCAAAAAGCCAAAGCTAAAACCTATGAATATACTAAGCTATCACAAGTAGCAACATCACCAGAACTTCGTTTGCAATTTTTTTCAAAGATTAAAAAGCATGAGGAGACTATAATGATAGGGGAGAATAAGCTTAAGCAATTAAAAGGGAATGCAGCGGCTCAGAAACGAGCTCGGGAAAAGAAACAGCAAATGTTAGAAAAGGAGAATGTTGTGGAAATATATGATACACCAGGTCGACCATCATATTTGATGAAAGATTTTAACCTTTTGGAAAATATGCATAATAGTGTTGAGTTTGGAGCTGCCAATCATAAACGACATAAGGAGATAATCAAAGTACGAACGATTAAACACCTCCGTGAAAAATTGGAAGAGGATTATAATGTATATTTGTCAAAATCTACATTGAAAAATTATATGCAACCTCGCCATCCAGGAACAAAGGAAGCACAGCGTCATCACCATCCTGCACAAATACGCTTAGCGGCAATTGGAAGAAATGAAATGAATGATCATGTCGACGAATATTATTGCTTAGCATCAGTTAAAGGCGTAAAATCGTTTGATTCAGCTTATTCACAAAATGTTGTTTTGATTTCGCAGGATGATAAGGCTAAGGTAATCTAATCTATAATTTGATAATTATAACAGAAATTTTTTGGGTGGTAAAGAGAAAAAATATTAAAAAAATAAATTTATCATTAGGTTCCATTAGGTATTGCTGTGGTCGGAAAAACATTTAAAGCAATACAAACATCCAACGAACCTATATCTGTTCCTGATCATGATTTCCCAATGGGTTCTAAGCACAAGTTAATACCATTCATCTACTTGTTAATTAATCCTAGCAATACAAACAGTTCTTTAAATTCTGGCAAAATGAGAATTTTCATCCGCCCTGAATACTTTTTAGGTACCTCATGCAAAACTCATATGATTGATCTCATGAAAATTACAGAAGAGATGTCTTTTCGCGAGTTTACACATTACAAAGGTTTAGTGAAACCTATTTGGTGTTTATTAACAGATGGTAGACCTGATGAAAACCCTCGATTCCTTGCAAATATTAAGAAATATTTGCTCATTTTTAAAAAGCTTGATTTAGACTATCTTACAGTACGAACACATGCATCAGGATAATCAGCATATAATCTGGTAAAATGAAGTATGTCATCATTATCTGACAAGTTAGCGGGTATCGCATTGAATGCTTTTAACTATGGAAACCATCTTGGTAATATTAATGGGCAAGTTTCTATGATTGATGAAGAACTCGGCCATAAAAATTTTAAATATGCCGGTGAGCATCTTGTTGAACTTTGGAATTGTGACCCTATCAATGGACAACCAGTTGTTGCTACATATGTTGAAAAATATGACCATACTGTATTTTCGGATATTGAAGAAATGACTTGGGATTGGATCGATTGTCATTCACAAATTTGTAAATATTCTCTCGATTTGCGACAATGTGATGATCAGAGTTGTTATGGACCACCGCGAGCTCCTGACGCTTTTGAACTTTTATCACTAAATAATGGTTTTCTTCCTTCTGTTGTACAAGGACAAGACAAGCATTTTCTTAATCTATTGCACACATTGGAATACTTTGGTGATCGGCTTCCTGGCTATGATAAGCATTATCCAAGAATTTCGTCCGAATTATATCAAGAACTTGTATGCCAAAAGTGTGGAAAGTATTTCCCAACAAAGGCATTTATAAAAATGCATACTAAGATCATGCATTTAAGTGGAAGAGAAAAAAGAGCACGAATAATTCAAGATGAACAATCTATAGTAGGAAATCATGATGCATTAAGACGTGAGAAAGAACACAAATGTGTGAATCAATCTATTGGTCAAAGAGATAATAAAATCACAACTATGCAACAATGAACAAGTGGTGGTGGACATAAAAAAAATAGAGTAAGGAATTTACAACCCTGGAATCAGAATCATTTTACGTTTCAGATTAATGTTAACAATATGTAATGATTTTTTAAAATAAAATTATTTGGTTTAAATTTTATAAAATTGCTTTATTAAATATGTGAGATTTTATTGTATTATATAAATCTTTAATAAATTAAACTTTTAAGTTTATGATTAAAGCTAAAATTATTGTCACGTGATTAAGTTACACTATTTCCTTATTTGCTTTTATGACAAGAGGGGGGAGGGGAGGGGAAAATCTCAAAAAATCAAATGATGTCATTTCTGCCCCTCCCCTAACTAAAAATGCCGATTGTTTTGGCAATGATTAGCAGAAATTAGATTATATTTTGGCTAACATTCGGCATTTTAAAAAGGGACGAAATGGATTATTTCGACTAGTGATATCCATTCTGAATGTTTTGTATTGTAATAAACTAAAAAGTTATCTTTTAGATCACATGATTTTTATCTTGTCACAAAATCCATCCAATTAGCTTT